CGCGGTTCGGGCAGGGCTGCATGACTCGGGCAGGGGCGGGGCACAGCACCGAGCAGGGCGCGCAGTGCACGGGTAGGGCAGCGGCCAGGGCAGCGCGCGGGCAGGGCGCGCAGTGCGCATGGGCGGCGCCAGCAGCGGACACGCAGTCCGCGGGCTGCAGGACAGGGCAGTGGGCTGGCTGCAGAGCAGCGCGCGGGCTGCTGGGCGTGCGGGCAGTAGGGCGACGCGGGCAGCAAGGCGCTTGGGCTGCAGGACGACGTGGGCTGCAGGGCGTGCGAGCTGCAGGGCGTCGCGGGCAGCAGGGCGACGCGTGCTGCAAGGCGACGCGGGCTGCAGGGCGACGCGAGCAGCAGGGCGTGCGAGCTGCAGTATGACGCGGGCAGCAGGGCGACGCGGGCTGCAGGGCAGGGCAGTGCGCGGGTTGCAGGGCAGGGCAGCGCGCGGGCTGCCGGGCAACGCGGGCTACAAGGCGACGCGGGCTGTAGGGCGACGCGGGCTGTAGGGCAGGGCAGGGCAGCACACGGGACGCAGAGCTGCGCGGGCAGGGCAGCGCGCGGGCTGCAAGGCTACGCGGGCAGGGCAGTGCGCAGGCTGCAGGGCGTGGCGACGCACGGGTTGCTGGACAGGGTAGCGCATGGGCAGCAGGGCGGCGGGCGGTGTCATAACATTATAGCTTATACATTTGTGTAGGCTGTAGTGGGGTAGCCCATATGGGGTACAACCCAATTAGGGTTAGTACTTGTACCCAACTCTTTCATAGTTCATTCATCCATTCTCACTTCTCGTCATGGTATCGAGCACGTTCCCGAGTGGGAATTCTGCCTAGGGCCCACCACGTACTTTTTTTTCCTTCCCTGCCCGGAGCGCGCTTAGCTCCTAACCCGAGTAGCGCCCCGAGCCGCCTTAGTGGCCCCTTTTGGCCGCCCTTACTACCCCTCGAGCCGCCCGCTACGGCCCCGCTACGGCCCCGTCGGCCCCGTTACGGCCCCGCTTCGGCCCCGCTACGGCCCCGTCGGCCCCGCTTAGGCCCCGCTACGGCCTCGCTACGGCCCCGTCAGCCCCGCTTAGGCCCCGTCGGCCCCGCTTCGGCCCCGTCGGCCCCGCTTAGGCCCCGTCGGCCCCGCTACGGCCCCGTCGGCCCCGCTTAAGCCACGCTACGGCCTCGCTTCGGCCCCACTACGGCCCTGTCGGCCCCGTCGCGGCCCCGCTTAGGCCCTGTCGGCCCCACTTAGGCCCCGCTGCGGCCCCGCTACGGCCCCGCTACAGCCCCGTCGGCCCCGCTACGGCCCCGTTGGCCCCGTCGGCCCCACTTAGGCCCCGTCGGCCCCGTCGCGGCCCCGCTTAGGCCCCGTCGGCCCCACTTAGGCCCCGCTGCGGCCCCACTACGGCCCCGCTACGGCCCCTTCGGCCCCGTCGGCCCCGCTATGGCCCCACTTCGGCCCTATCGCTCACTTCGGCCCCATTGGCCCCGTCGGCCCCTCTTAGGCCCCGCTTCGGCCCCGTCGCCCACTTCGGCCCCGTCGCCAACGCGGCCCCGCCGACCCTTGCAGCCCGCCGCCACCTGAGACCTCGCCACCACCTGCGACCCCACCTCCCATCGCCCGCAGCGCCGAGCAGCCGAACCGCCGGCAAGCTGAGCCACCTGACCGCCCGAGCCGCCCAGCAACCGTGCCGCCCGGCAGCCGAGCCGCCCAGCAGCCGAGCCGCCCGATAGCCGAGCCGCCCGATAGCCGAGCCGCCCAGCACCGTGCAGCCGAGCCGCCCCGCAGCCGAGCCGCCCACCAGCCGAGCCGCCCAGCAGCCGAGCCGCCCTGCAGGCGAGCCGCCCGACAGCCGAGCCGCCGAGCAGCCCGATCACTCCATCTACCTGGTAAGAGCACAGTCTCTGCCACTGCACTGCCCTGCCTACTGCTGTTATGGCTTCCCCTAGCGTTCTCACCTTTGATGCTGAGGGTCGGGCAGTCGACTTTGAGGTCTGGGTAGATGATCTGCAGCTTTTCCTGTAGTGCGATAGGGCAGACGGCCTCTTCCTGTTTGACCTCACTTCTGGTGCCTCCCCTGTCCCTGCTGCTGATGCTAACGCCACTGTTCGCTCACAGTGGGCCAAACGTGATGCTGCTGCTCGCCTTGCTGTTCGCCGCCACTTTCCGACCACTGAGCGTGCGCACTTTAGCCAGTACAAGAGTGCTCAGACCTTGTACGACGCTGTAGTTGCACACTACTCTTCCCCTGCCACTGCCGCACTGAGCCGCCTCATGCTACCGTTCCTCTTCCCTGACCTTGCTGCCTTTCCCACTGTCGCTGACCTCATCACGCACCTCCGCACTAGTGACACTCGCTACCGCGCTGCGCTTGCTGCTGAGTTCTACGCCAAGAACCCCCCCCCTCCATGTACATCACCCTCTACTACATAGTCACCCGGCTCCCTGACTCTCTTCGTGTAGTCAGGAACCACTTCCTCTCTGTTTGCCCCACCAGTCTCACCGTTGACCTCCTCGAGAAGGCCCTCCTAGCGATAGAGAAGATCATAGTCGCTGTAGGAGCCTCTCGTGGTGACCCTCGCACCCCCGTCTTTGAGGGGTGTTCTCCCTCCCCCCTCTTGTTCTGTGTTGCCTCTGCTGCTACGGCCGACCTCGTTGGTTTCGAGTTGGTCGGCGCTGCGTCTGCCCCGAGCGGGAGACGCCGCACCGGCAAGGGCAAGGGGGGCAAGGGCACTGGAGTGGATGGAGGGGGCGGTGGAGGTGGTGGTGGAGGCGGTGGAGGGAGTGGGGGTGGTGGTGGGAGTGGTGCCGGGGGTGGTGGCGGCGGCGGCAGCAGTGGAGGTGGTGGAGGCAGTGGAGGTGGCGGAGGGAGCGGAGGCGGCGGAGGTGGTGGAGGAGGCAGAGGTGGAGGAGGCGGCGGAGGCAGCGGCGGCGGCGGCGGCGGCGGCGGCGGAGGCGGTGGTGGTGGAGCGAGTCGCGACTCTGCGCTGAGGAGTGGCGCCGGTCGTGGTCAGCGCCAGCAGCAGCAGCGGAGTGGTGTGACCATAACCCTCAGCAGCTTCGTGAGTGGTACACTGCACGCCAGCGCGGTGGGGGTTTTGGTCCCTGCTCTTACGTTCTCCGTACCGGCGACCGCACTGGTGAGCAGTGCGGAGGTCCGCACTCCACCCAGCGCTGCTTTGGTTGCTTGACGGACGCGTGGCGTCGCCAGTTCCCTGAGGCGTCAGTGATCCCTCACTGGGGAGATCTGGCTAAGGCCGGGGTTGCTATCTTTGATCTTGACTTTGATGCTATTCTTCCTGCATGTATGCTGTTGCTGATAGTGTTGAGGGTGCCTGTTACCTGTGTGTACCGCATGACCCGGGCATTGAGGCTGCTGCGCTAGGTGCTAGTGAGGCTGCTGCTCTAGGTGCTAGTGCGTCTGCTGCCCTAGGTGCCAGTGCGTCTGCCACCCCAGGTACTGGTGAGTCTGCTCTCTCAGGTACTACGTCGGCTCTGGCCTTCCACACCTTCACCCTGGACTCGATGCGTCCCGCTCCTTTTTTCAAGACCGCACCACTCTTACGCCGCTTAGTCAGCCGGTTGCGGTCTCCCTGGCAGACCCCTCTGGGGGTCCTATCCTTGCTAGCTTCTTCACTGTCCTTTCGTGCCCTGCAGCCCCCTCTGGCACCCTGTCTAGTCTCAACCTCCCCTCGTTCTCTACGAACTTGGTGAGTGGAGCGGACCTACAGGATCAAGGGGTTGACCAGTTCACTCCTGCGAGTCAGCGAGTGACCCACTGCACGTGTGCTCGGACAGGCCGACACTTGGCCACGTTCACCCGTCGGCCAGGGTCGAGCCTGTACACCCTTACTGCTGAGTCTCCTCCTACTGCTGAGTCTACCCAGGTAGCTGCGTCGAGTCAGGTGTTTGCTGCGGCGTCCAGGTCTGGTCCTGAGTCTGCCCCCTGCTCGTGTCGTCTGCTGTCCCACCAGACTCTCCTTTGGCACCACCGCCTTAGTCACCCCTCCTTGCCTCGTCTCCGAGGCATGGCCTCCTGTGTCCTTGTCTCTGGTCTCCCTCGGTCTCTCCCTCCCCTTCCTCCGGGGCCTGGCCCTACCTGCGCCCCCTGCGTCGAGGGGCGACAGCGCGCCGCCCCTCACTCCTCTAGGTTTCCTCCGATAGAGGCTCCGCTGCAGACCCTACACATGGATGTGTGGGGCCCAGCCCGCGTTAGTGGGCAGGGGCGAGAACGGTACTTTCTGCTGGTCGTTGACGACTACTCGCGTGACACCACAGTCTTCCCCTTGCGCAGCAAGGGCGACGTCACTGAGGTGTTGATCGACTGGATCCGCGCAGCTCGTCTCCAGCTCAGAGAAAGTTTCGGCTCGGACTTCCTGTTCTGCGTCTACACTCGGACAGAGGCGAAGAGTTTTCCTCTGCCCGTCTGGGAGCCTTCTGTCATGCACAGGGCATCCGCCAGACCTTCACGCTTCCGGCCTCTCCACAGCAAAATGGGATTGCTGAGCGCCGCATCGGCATGGTCATGGACGTCGCATGTACGTCCATGATGCATGCGGCTGCCCCCAATTTTCTGTGGCCGTTTGCGGTTCAAGCGTGAGTGCCCTGTTGAACCTGCCCCGTACACCTGGCCAGAGCAACACCGCTTTGACTACATACACGTGGGGCGGGGAGACAAGCTCAATGCCACCTGATGGCCTCGTTTGGACCATGACACACGGCCCGAAGCGTGAGTGCTCTGTTGAACCTCCACTATCTGTCAAGAGTGACAGCAGCACCGGTTTGACTATGTGCACGTGCGACAGGGGGACATGCTCAATGCCACCCAATGGCTGGCCCCATCTGGATCGAGAAACGCGGCCCGATGCGTGAGTTCCCAATTAGATATGCACCGTCTCGGGCTTGAAGTGTGGCTCCCATATAGCTGGTCGCAGCAGCACCGCTTTGCCTATGTGCATGTGCGGCGATGGGACGGCAACACCCAGCCACCTCATGCCACACACTGGCCTCTATTGGACCATGGCACACGGCCTAAAGTGTGAGCTGCCTGAAGTGAGACGATTTTCGAGTCGACTCAAAAATCGTCACACTCGGCGTGAAGTGTACGCTGCTTGTGACAACTTTCTGAAGTGACAGCCCGCCCTGCCCGTGCCATCCCTCTCACCCCAGTCTCCTGCAGAAGCTCCCATCGCTCGTCCCGCCAAACACCACTCTCTACATCGCAACCAACGAGCCACACCCCCACTTCTTTGACCCTCTTAAGGCTGCATACAGCGTGTACATTCAAGACGATTTTGAATCTCTCTGGGCCAAAGGGTCGGCGTGGGAAGCCGAGATGAGGGAGGTTGCGGCTTTGGTGGGTGTGGCGGTGGGGGAGAGGGTGGAGTTTGGCAGTGAGATGCAGGTGCTGGTGGACTATGCGCTCAAGAAGCTTGCGAGGCGGACAGTGGAGACGTTTAACGACCTGACTGATGATCCCAAGGACGGTGAGATGCGGTGGAGAGTGGTGACATGCGGTGGAGAGGGGTTGTTGGGGGAGTTTGGCAGTGAGATGCAGATGCTGGCGGATTATGCGATCCAGAAGGTTGCGAGGAGGGCGGTGGAGATGTTTAACGACCTGACTGATGATCCCAAGGACGGTGAGATGCGGTGGAGAGCGGCGGGAAGGAGGAGGGGAGGTGGTGGGAAGGTGGAGCGGAAGTGGTGGGGAAGTGTTGGGGAGTGCTGGGGAGGTGGTGGGAAGGTGGTGTGTGTGTGAGTAGCATGTCATGCCATCAAGCCTTGTTACCATGCTCCCCCATGCTCTTCCATGCATTATCTTGCTCTACCTTGCTCTGCCTTGTCCTTCCTTGCCCAATGTACTTCCTTCCTCCCTCTTTTTCAATTCCTCTTGCTCCACATCAGTGCCTTCCCCACGCTCCCATCCCTCCCCCCAAACCCCCATTGCGTTATCTCCACTCCATTTTTTTTTCCCCGTCATGTTGACTCTCTTGTGGTCTCATCTTTCCCCACTGCATTCCCCCCACTCCATGGCCTTCCCTGGCAGGCGTTGTAGGGCCTTAGCAGACATGGTGACGGGTGCGTGGGGCATGGGGTGACGGAGCAACATAGTTTATCAAACAGAAGTAGTGTACGGTCAAGATGCATGTATTATGTACAGAGAGCAACACATATTGTACAAAATCGCAAGATAAATCAGGGTGCTCTTCAAGAACCCTGACAAGCAAAGAAAACACAGATGACATGGTTTTTTAGAGACAGAGGGATGCACTACAGATAAATCTATCCCTATATTTCTATATTGCAGCACCGTGATTTTGAGCTGAAATGGGCATCCACCTTGGCTGGGTCTCCAAAGGTCAAACGCGGTTTCTGTGAGTCCGAGTGGCCCCCCGTGCCAAGCAAGGGTCATTCTGTATCTCCCTACCATAATTGCCTTTGCTTCGCGAATTTTACATCCGTGACTGATCGTTCGTGATACAGTACGAGGGGGTTGGAAAAATTGCCTTGGGAGACGACCGCAACATGTGATTTTGACGAGAATCGCCACAGGTAGATGGGGTTGCGACGGCATGGCTAACGACTGAGTTACCAGCTTGGGCTTTCAAAAACGGAAGTTCTGTTCCACTCCACACCCTTCCTGGCAGCAATTATTTGTTCTTGGGGGGTGGAACATCCTGGGAACCTCGAAAAAGTCCGGACCTTACCGCTGTGAAACGAATTTTAACGATATAGAATCGTAGCAGCACAGCATGGACCGATTTAAACCGCAATTGAAATTCGGACTTGTATGAAAATCTGCAGGATGCGCCTAGTGACGCTACATCCTTTATTACTACAATTATGGTCATTCTCAGCCAGCATAACATCTACTTTATGCACCGTGAAACGCGATTCTCAGGATATCACAATTTCGAGTCCCCGTGTCTTCTGCATTGCGACAATACCATCCGATTCCATACCTTAGCTAGCTTCCATGGCTCCACGGTACCTTCGGAGCGAGCGTCTCACCTCCGCCATCTCACTCTCCATCGCCATCGCATTGATTCTGGTACCGTTAGCGCGCGCTCAGCAGTGCTCGAGCTCCGTGCCGTGTAACCTGACGAGCCTGTGCTGCAGGTTAGTCTAAAGACGTCTCACATATCGAGCCGGTTGCTGGTCGCTCCTCCCCAAGTTCCTGTCCGACTTGGAGTCGATTTTCATGCTTCACAACCTTAAAGTCCTTCGGTGCTTCCGGAACACATTCATTTTCATATATTACCTCTATTTCAGACATTTCTGAAAGTCGAGTTCAGAACACAAATTCAAATTCTAAAAATGAGGCCTCCGACACCTACCTTTCAAGCTGATGTTTGCTTTCACGGCGGAAAAGTTCCCCTCACCCTCAAAACACCTCGACCGCGGCCTCGTATATTCGGCATCTCATACATTCGCCTTCTTCTCTTTCCCCTCTCTTTCTCCCGCTCTGTCCGTAACCCTCTTTCCCCTGCCTCGAACCCTCCGCTTGCCCGCAGCAAGGATGGCTATTGCGGAAGAAGTGACGCCTACTGCGGTGCGGACTGTCAGAGTGGGCCGTGCAATTTTGGTGAGGACGATTCTGCTGATTTGGATGCCTCGGATAAACTGGAAAGATACATGTTACATATTTTAGATGAATACTGATGATTTAAACAATTCCAACAATCAGACTAGATGACTCAGGTAAATATTTCAATCCAGTTAATTCGGATAATCGGCGCGGGTAATGCCATTCCATAGCATGTGTATCTCTCTCTACCGTAGAGAGAAAGAAGAAAGGGAGAGCACGCGTACCTAACATGTGCTAGAGCACGTGTATCTCTCTCACCTAACATGCTCTTTCATATCCATTTCTCTCTCATGTTTCCATGCATACACACCTAGCACATCCATGCATGCACACATAGTATCCATGCATTCATGATGCATGTACACACTATGCATACGTGCATGCACATAGTATCCATGCATCCCTGCATGCACTCATTACAATGCCACCTTACTGTCCCTTCCCAGGCATCCCAGCAATGGTCACTGAGTAGCTCAGTACCTTCGTACAACAAGCAATGAACGCTCAACAGCAGTGCTCCAGCTCCTCGCCATGTAACCCGCCGAGTCTATGCTGCAGGTAAGTTTGAGAGGACTCACAACCCGAACCTAGGCTTCAGGTTTGTTTGTGGCATCTCACAACCCGAGCCTTCATGCTGCTCATCATGTCAATGCCACCACCCCCCCCCCCCCCCCCCCCCCCCCTTCTCCTTCCATTTTGAGTCGTTTTCATGCTTTCAGAACACGACATTTTATTTTGTTAGTGCGTTCAGAACACGCCCTTTCTGTCCTTTGTTGCTTTCGGAACACGCCTTTTTGGTACTTAGGTGCTTTCATTCCTCCACCTGGTACGGAAGAACGCCTCCTACTGTGACACAGGTGCTCCAACGTGAGGGCGATTCCAGACGCTTCTGGCTGCTCTCCCCTCCCTGCCTCTCCCCTCACCCTCTTTTGCGCGCAGCCAGTACGGCTACTGTGGAAGCAACGAGAATTTCTGCGGTGGGGGGTATCAGAACGGGCCGTGCTCTGGTGAGAACGATTTTGATACTGAGTTTTGTGACGTCACAAAACTATGGACCGTGCTGTGGTGAGAGCAATCCCGATGACTGAAACATGTCATGTGCCATTAAAAGGAGGTGGCTCGAGTCGACTCAAAAGTCATCAGGTGTCAGAACTGGCTGTGCTCTGGTGAGAGCAATTCTGATGACTGAGACGCTTCAGATATACCAGAGATTTTAGATTATTCAGTTCTAATGACTTGGATGGTTCGCGTAAGATTTGGTGATTTGGATGATTCTGCTTCCCCCACACCCTCCTCCTTGCTCCCTCTCCGCCTTACCCCCACCCCCAACTTCTTTCCCACCTCCGCCTTCCTCCCACCTCTGACCTCCCCCACCTCCCCTTTCCCCCACCTCTGCCTTCCCCCCATTTTCGCTTCCCTTCACCTCCGCTTCCCCCACCTCCGACTTCCTCCCACCTCCGCCTTCCCCTCACCTCCGCCCCCACCTCCGACTTCCTCCCACCTCCGCCTTCCCCTCACCTCCGCCCCCACCTCCGACTTCCTCCCACCTCCGCCTTCCCCTCACCTCCGCCTTCCCCCACCTCCGCCTTTTCCCCACCTCCCACCGCTTCCCCACTGGAACAGGAGGGGGTTCCTCTTCCTCCCTCTCCACGGGGGTGGTGGTGGGGGTGGTGGTGGGAGCGGTGGTGCTGCTGCTGGGATTGGTCCTTCTAACGGTGTTCTTGTGTCAGAAAAGGCGCAGGGCCAAGGCGGCATGTAATCAAGCAGCCAAAGATGAAGGTAAGTCTGCTATATCGAAATCACTTTTGAGAATTCTCAAAAGTGATTTCGCCAAAGATGAAGGTAAGTGAAGGCGTGTGAGGGGGTTTCCAGGTTTGTAGGGCCTTATGGATAAATAAAAGGCCTATGGAATCATAAGTGGGTTCACTGATCCATAAGGGGCCACGGAGGAAGAGTTATTATATGTTAAATCAGGGGACCACGGCTTTATAAGCAAAAAAAAAAAAGACTGGGCCTGCTTCCGATTAAGGATTAACAGAAATTCCAGAGGCTCGCGTCATTGTCATGCTGTGGTGACAACCCGAACCTCATCTCGGAAAGATGATGAGTTTTGAGATGCCTCAAATCTGATGGCACGACCTGCCTCTAAACTGATGGCAGCTCGTGCCATTATCATCTTGCTGTGATAATAGCCTGAACCTCATTGCAGCATGACGCACTTGCTCATGCCAGTTTGCCTCGGCAGCTTGCCACCTCGGCTTTGCCACCCCTTCTCATCTGTTGCAACCCCTTTGCACCCGCGTTCCTACACCTGCCCCTTTCACTTATGTACCATCCCCCCAGAATCAGCAAAAGAAGCAGTGGCACCAGCAGTAGCAGCACCAGCACCAGCACCAGCAGCAGCTGTATCACCAGCAACATTAGCAGGAGCAGCAGCAACAGCGCCAGGAGAAGCAGCAGCAGTAGCAGGAGCAGCGGAAGCGGGGATACGTGGGCCTGCGCAGTGCCAAAGCTACCCCTTATCTGGCGTCCTGTGGGCGACTAACAACTGGGCTGAGGCAAACAAGATTGGCAGCGGCGGGTACGGGGTGGTGTACAAGGGTGTGTCTCCCCACGACCCGTCTCTGCTGTGGGCTGTGAAGCGCGCCACTGTCTTAACAACTGAAGACTTTCGTAGAGAGGTGAGTAGGGGGATATTCAGGTGACTTTTGAGTCGACTGGAAAGCCGAGTGGGCGTTGAAGTGTGCCTCTGTCTTAACGACTGAAGACTTCTGCCGAGAGGTGCGTAAGGAGAGATTGGGGTATCGCACTGGTGCAGTGCGATGCAGTGCAGTGTGGTACAACCGTGTCTGCTGCCTCACCACCTGTCGTTGTGTGGGCTGTGGGAAGTTGTGAAAAATGTTTGAATGAGAGGGTGACTGTACTAACGAAAAGGAGGGTTCCCCCTCTCTCTCCCCCTCCCTTCCCCATCGGCCCTCCATATCTCCCTGTCAGATCAATGAGATGGCGTGCAAGAACCACGGCGACCTCGTGCGGCTCCTGTGGTACTGCGTCCCCTCCCTTCCCCCTTTTCCACACTTCCCCCTTCCTCCCCCCTCTTCCCTCCTTCCGCCCTCCCAATTATCGCCCTATCAGATCAATGAGATGGCGTGCAAGAACCACGGCAACCTCGTGCGCCTGCTGGGGTACTGCCAAACCATAGGCGCGGCAAATGAGAAGATAGAGCAGGTTCTCATCTACGAGTTCATGCACAACGGTGACCTCGAGAGGTGGAGTGGCCCAGGTGGGTGCTGGATGGAGTGCGTTGATACCCTGGATCGCTGATGATCCCTATGAGAGAACCACATCAACCTCGAGGGATTCTGCCGGCACATACATGTGGCAAATGAGCAAATAGAGCAGGTTCTCATCTAAGAGTTCATGCAAAATGGGGACCTAGAGAGGTGGATCGGACCAGGTGGGTGCCTGGATGGGCTTGGTCAGATACAGCCTCATGGACGCTGCGAGCGAGAACATAGAGCAAATCTCATCTATGAGTTCATGCACAACGGTGACCTCGAGAAGTGGATCGGACCAGGTGGGTTTGAGTAGACTTTCAAATGAACTCGTGGCGGCTGGGGGAATGACTGGGGGCATAGAGCAGGTTCTCATTTATGAGTTCATGCACAATGGTGACCTCGAGAGGTGGATTGGACCAGGTGGGTACTGAGTTGACCTGAAAGTCACCTCATGGCGGCAACTGGAACCAGGTGGGTACTGAGCAGCTTCCCATTTATGTGTTGATGGAGAATGGTGACCTCGAGAGGTGGATTGGATCAGGTGGGTTTTGAGTCGACTCAGAAGTCACAAGTCACCTCGTGGCAAATGGGGCAAGAGAGTATTCTCTCTCCTCTTCGAGTACATGGGCTGCCATGACCCCAAGAGATGCATTGGGACCAGGTGGGTGCTGGAAGGATTTCGTTGGCACGTGTGTGCCGCTGGTCATTCCTAAAGTAGTGCAAGTACCAACGTCTACGTGCTCAAGGCCTTTGAGGCACCTGTGTGGGGGTAGAGAGACGAATCATGAGGCGCCTGTGTGGGGGTAGAGAGACGATTCATAAGGCACCTGTGTGGGGGTAGAGAGACGAATCATGAGGCGCCTGTGTGGGGGTAGAGAGACGATTCATAAGGCGCATGTGTGTGGTTATAGAGATGGGTTTCGAGGTACATGTGTGTGGTTAAAGAGATGGGTTTTGAGGTACATGTGTGTGGTTAAAAAGATGGGTTTGAGGCGCCTCACCTGCTGCATTCCTTGCTTCGTCCTTCGCCGTCGTGACATTATTCTGAATCTCTCTGGGCCTTGCTTGATTCATTATCCTTCGCACAGCACCCTTTTTCTGACTCCCCCCCACAACCACCACCAGGTGTGGCGCTTTAACGTGCTCATAGGGGTTTCTCAGGGCTTGCATCGCACTTGTCAAGCCGTTTGAAGCGCTTTATTAGTAATGCACCCTTTTTCCACCTCCTCTCCACAACCACCACCAAGTGCGGCATACCCTCTGAACCTGCGGCAGCGCTTTGACGTGCTCATAGGGGTGGCACGAGGCCTGGAGTACCTCCACAGCTTCAACATCGTGCATCGTGACATCAAGCCCGCCAACATCCTTCTCGACAAGCATATGCAGGTGAGGTTGTTTGGAGTGTGCCTTTCTCTGTAAGCACCTCCCTTCCCCACGAGGCCTGGAGTACCTCCACAGCTTCAACATCGTGCATCGTGACATCAAACCTGCCAACATCCTGCTTGACAGGAACATGCAGGTGAAAAAGAGTGTCACGCATACATTTCCCCTCTCTCTACTCTCCCCAGGCCAAGGTGGCTGACTTTGGGCAGGTGCGGATGAACATGGACGCCACTGGAGATGCAACTCGGAGGGTGGGAACAATAGGCTATATGGACCCTGCATACGTGTGGACAGAGCGGGCCACTACAGCATTGGACGTGTACAGGTGAGACAAGGCCCAAGAGTGATTGAAATGCTGATAGGATGGCACAGTTGAGTGCTACAGGTAAGTGCAGGGTAGATGGGAACTCCAGGCTATACGGAGCCTGCATACATGCATGTGGACACAGAGGGCCACTCTTGCAGTAGACGTGTACGGGTGAGAGGAGGCACGGGTGTGTGAAACGCTGATAGCACATGAGAGAGAAGGCACGAGTGAGTGCAGAGGTGGGTGGAGAAGCAGGGGGTGGGTGAAGGCTATGCGGACCCTGCGTACTCGTGGACACAGAGGGCCACTGCAGACGTGTACAGGTGAGAGGAGGAGCGAGTGAGAGTGTACTGGCTATTTGAGAACTAAGGGTGAGTGCAGATCATGGGAACTAAAGGCTATGAGGACCCTGCGTACTCGTGGACACAGAGGGCCATTCCTGCAGCATACGTGCACAAGTGAGAGAAGGCACGAGTGCGTGTAATGTTAATATCGGGTTGCTCAATCTGGTACAAACCGGTATGAATTTGTATTCGTTTGTGAATGTAATATCGGCTTGATTTGGACCCAGCAAACTTTCCCCCTTATTCCAGCCTACTTTCTCCATTTCCCCAGCCAACTTTCTCCAACCTACTTTTCCCAGCCTAATTTCCTGAGCCAGCTTTCCCCAGCCTACTTTCCCCATTTCCCCAGCGATATTTCCCAGCCTACTTTTTCCAGCCTAATTTCCCGAGCCAGCTTTTCCCAGCCTACTTTCTCCATTTCCCCAGCCAACTTTCCCCATTTCCCCAGCCAACTTTCTCCAGCCTAATTTCCCGAGCCAGCTTTCCCCAGCCAACTTTCCCCGTTTCCCAAGCCAACTTTCTCCAGCCTACTTTTCCCAGCCTAACTTCCCGAGCCAGCTTTCCCCAGCCTACTTTCCCCATTTCCCCAGCCAACTTTCCCAGCCTAATTTCCCGAGCCAGCTTTTCCCAGCCTACTTTCCCCAACCCACTCTCCCCAGCCTACTTTCCCCAGCCGACATCAAACCACAGAAGCTCAGTTCAGTAGCAGACGTGCACACAGGGAAGCGAAGTCACAGATGTGTGCACAATAGGTTCAAGCCGGAACAGAGCAGTTTAAGAGAGGTGTGAGCTGTACCACGACAGGTTCAGGCCAATTCAGAGCGGTCCAAGCCGAGATAACGAGGGTATGAGCTGTACCACGGCAGGTTCATGCCGGTACAGGACAGTGTTTTAGCTCGTAATATTTCTGTTATCTACAGAATTGTTCTGTTCGGTGAATATCCTACTTAATCCAAGCCACAGAAGGCCATTTCGTGGTGGCTATGCACAGGTGGGGAGGACCAGTACAGGTACAGAGCGGTACTTGCCTGTAGTATAGTTGTAGAGGTGGAGGTCATGAGCATAGGTGCATGTGTGACACCATTCCCACCATTTTTATGCGTGCAACCATGCTACTCACCATCATTGCACACCATCATTGCATACCATCATTGCACCCCATCATTGCACACCACCATTGCACACCATCGTTGCACACCATCATTGCACACATGCCTGCTCCCGTCTCCCCCCACAGCGTTCGAGTAGTCATGCCTATACTGACTTCTGATTCGACTCAAAAGACACCATTCCCACCATGTTGCTACATGCAATCATGCTAATCACCATCATTGCACACCGTCCTACGCCCATCTCCTCCCACAGCGTTTGAATAGTCATGCCTATGCCCAATCACAATCCTCGCTGCCGGAAGTCTTGCAAAGAGCTACAAGAGCTGCATTTCCGTGTTTGTGCCCATGTTTGCATGTTATCCGCTGCAGCTTTGGAGTGGTGGTGCTGTCGGTCATAACTGCACGCAAGGCTGTGTTCCCAATGGAGGGCAACACGCCCTCAGGCAAGGGTTTATCAGAGAACAACCTGATAAATATCAAGACTTGGGTGAGCCCACTGTTGGGAAAGGGTGACTGAGAAAGAACGATGAGTGATGTAAGTGAGATCATTACAGTTGATCAAAGGGTGATAAAAGACCGATAATTCATCACAATGTTCTTCGCAACCTCTTTGCTTTCTTGAGAATTGGTTTCTCTCTCTCTCTCTCTCTCTCTCTCTCTCTCTCTCTCTCTCTCTCTCTCTCTCTCTCTCTCTCTCTCTCTCTCTCTCTCTCTCTCTCGAACGGTCCTTCGTATTAGTATCATCAAGGTACAGGCCTGGGTACTAAGCTAGTCTAAGCAATCAAACGACAAACAGGCAAGCCAACAACCAAGAAAACACACAAAGGTACCACAAACACATAAAATCCCCCCTCTAGCGGCAAACCCGGGTACCCCTTGTGCCACTTGCTTGTGACCCTCCTCCCCTCGCTGCATTCTCCCCTTCTAGGTACAACCTGTAGTGGACGTAGGAAATGCAGAATCCATCAAGGTCTCATGTTTTCAGGCCCCCTGCGACATCATCCTCCCATGCCTCTCATGCCACTTGTATCAATTTTCTCTCTCCACCTGCTCCTCTTCCACCAACCTGCTCCTCTTCCACCAACCTGCTCCTCCCTCACCTCACGTTTCCAGGTGCAATCCCTGGTAACAGTAAAGGATGCAGACACCATCAAAGACCCGTGTCTAGATGCCCCAAGCCACATCGTCCTCTCATGCCTCTTGTGTCTCTTATGCCACTTGTATCACTTGTGTCTCTCCCACCTGTTCCTCCCATACCTTGCCCCTGTTCCTGTTCATGCCTCTCATGCCTCTCATGCATCTCATGCCCCTTGTATCATTTCTGTTTCTACCACCTGTTCCTCCCACACCCCACCGTTTCAGGTGCAACCCCTACTGGACGCTGGGAATGTAGACACCGTCAAAGATCCGTGACTAGATGCCCCTACCACATCATCCTCACATGCCTCTTATGCCCCTTGTATCACTTCTGTCTCTCCCACCTGCTCCTCCCTCACCCCACCCTTCCAGGTGACACCCCTAGTGGATGCGAGGGACGCAGATACCATCAAGGACCCGCGACTAGATGCCCCAAGTGACAGCATCCTCCGCCTGGCCCGCCTCGCCCTCTCTTGCACTGCCGAGCAAGTGACTGCTCGCCCCACCATGGCCCGCGTTCTCTTTGATCTCATGGTTATGAAAAAGGAGTGCTTTGGAAAGGAAGTGAATACTGCATTCGTAAAAATCGACAGGGACATGGCGAACATGGGGGGCTCGAGCCTCTCTTGGGAGTCCAAAGAGGTTTGAACGGAGAAGCTTGTAACGGGGCGGGAAGGAACGTCAGGTTTGAACTGAATAGGAAGAGAATCCTGCGCTGGCCAGTATCGACCGCGACATGGCGAACCTGAGGGGTCCGAGCCTC